CAACTCCACATGTGAAACAAATTTATCTAAAAGATTTTCAACCAAAATTCCCGTGACTAAATCTAATCCCGATTGATGAAAAATCATCTTCACGTGATATAGGATTTGGGCGTCGTTAGAGAATTTTTTTTTTTTTAGCCCAAAGGTTTTCCTAAATCCTTTTTAAACTAGACTCGGTTATATTCTATATTTTGGCAGCGCTAAAATTTTAGTATTTAACAAAAAGAATTCAGACTTGATTGTTACTTCTTTCATTTTGAAAAATCAAAAAAAAAAAAAATTCACCGTGTCAAAAATAATACCTTCTGCCTAAGAATACCGATACTTCCCCATTCCCTAAATCATTTGCCTTTAGCTGACTCAATATGAGTGAAAAAATAAGTGTGGCTCTTTTTGGACCTACTGGACAAGGAAAATCCACCGTTGCTAACATGCTGGTCCAAGGTGACTTTCATGGAGAAAACAATGCGTTCGAAGTCAATGATGCAACGGTTGGAGCAAGAGATGAGACAAAACGCGATGCTAACGAGACATTTGAAGTGTACGACATAATCGAAGTATGTCAAACAAATTTTAAAAGTACACCGCATAAAAATGCTGTGAAAAGTATAAGAAACTATTTTTCAAAATATAGAGGGCCACTCAACTACGTATGCTACGTTAAGAAGAAGGGAAAGTTTACCAAAGAAGATAAAAAGTTGTTCAAAATGTTTAAGGAGATCTTTAAGGGAGGCGAGAAAAATATCATCATAATCATCACCGACTGTGAACCGGAATGGGTCGATGAAAACTCGAAAACCATCGAGAATAATTTTGGAGTTTATCCGACCATTGCGGTTGATTTTCCCTCCCAAGGTCATGGTGCTGCCGCTAAAAGAGCGAAAAGTTTGGAACGATTAACGAGCAAACTTACATCCTTAAATTACAAGGGCATTAAATTGGAGACTCTCAGCTCTATCCAACTTGTAGAGAACAAATTATCCAATGTTATTTGCTTCGTGCCATTTGTTGGTACAGGATATTCATTAATTTCTTCTGTCGTGTACTTTGTGGACGGAAGACCAATCGTGGCAACAGAACGACTGGTAGATGGAGCTGCTGATCTTGTATTGGGCAAGACAATTATGATTATTGGTCATAAATTTATAAACCCTATAGTTAAAGGTGTGAGCCAGAAAATTGTACACACGGTATATGGTATATAGCCTCCGGAAGGTTTTAAATTCGTGTTCCCCACATTTAAAAAAAAAAAAATTTTTTTCCTTTTTTTTTTTTTTTTTATAAAATTATTTATAAATAGTGCTGTATAAAAAAAAATCAATAAAATATAATAAAATTATTTCAATAATCACAGAAACAAATTTAAATGGCGCAATAATTTAAAATTCTTGTCCATTGCTTATGTCTTGTTAGTTATTCTGCCAACTTGATTGGCCAAAGGAATTTTTGTAAGAAATGTTAAGCCTGCACCAAAATATATTACTTAAAAATTTAAATCATCTCTATGCTACAGAAGCAAGACATGCTGTTTTCTTTCTTATCTTCCTTTTTTTAAAAAAAAAAACCATCTTTAAATACCTTGTTGAAGATGAAAATATAGCAAAGCACAAGGAAATGTATAATTTGCTTATTTCATTAATAAGTATTACTTATCCCCAGCTAATTAGTTGTTTCGCGATATCATGCATATCATGCTGAAAGAGGAATCGAAAATCATTCTTCGGGAGTTCGAAATAATCCCTTGACGATGTTCAGTTATATAAATTCATTCATTATATTATTTTGGTGTATGTGAAGATAATGAGAAATAAAAATAATGACCATTGTTTCATTAGTCTAAAATCGGTCGAGGCTT